AAAGATACCTGAAGCTATTTTGGAAAGACAACTTATTAAACGTGGGAATGTTGCTGCTATAAAGGTGCTCGTTAAATGGCGCAATTGGCTACCCGAGGAGGCTACTTGGGAATTTTATTATGACCTTTGTCAGAAGTATCCCAATTTTGACCTTTAAAGACAAAGGTTCTTGGGGAGGGGAGATTTGATGCAGTGCAGTCACTGAGTTTGTTGAGTTGTCAGTGTTAGGGAGTTAGTTGGAGTTCGTTAATTCTGTTACATTGTTATTTCTGTTATTTTGTCAATACTTGTTCTTGGAAGTTACAAGCGGTTAGTCTGTTAATGATGTATAGGAGTCTATATAAAAGGACTGTGCACAGACGGAAGGCGCTAGACACGATCACAATTCTTTCATTACTCTCTCTATATATTTCTCTRTTATTTTCCTTGATCTCTGCAGGTTACTCGTGTGGCTTTCTTCCATAGCCATACCTGTGAAGCAGACTATGGCTCTCGATAGTTTCTACCCTGAGTTGCATCAGAAAAACCACTAATGGTAAYAGTGAAGAAGTAGATCGATCCCAAAAAAGAGTAGGAGTAGATTTGCAAAAGATAAAACCAATCAATTAGTGGAAAAAAAAGATGGAAGAATGAGGAAGAGGAGGAGAGGAAGAAGAAGATGGCGATGGAGTTTGGTTCGGCTCGCCGTTGATTTCAATGAAGAAGAAGAAGAAGAAGGAGGAGGAGGATAATGGTTTAGCTGTTGTCTTACCTCGCCGGAGGTTGGTTCGACTATCTGTTCGGCGATGGAAGATGGCAATGGAGTTCTCCCTGTTGAGTGATGGAGTTCTCTCTGTTCGGCTCTCCCAATCTCTTCAATTGGATTGAAAATGAGGAGGGCATTTTTGTCAAAAGAATAAAAAATGATATTCATATCCGGAATGGGAATCACATTACCTAAGGAGGGGTTGGGAATGGCCATTCCCCATACGGGGGATTCCCATTCTGCCTAGAATGGAAATGGGATTCCAGTTCCATCAAACCAAACATTTGGAATCAGAATTCCTGCAAACCAAACACACCCTCAATTCCTTCGACCTCTATATTAGTTACCGTCGTCACCAACCCCATCTCCAACAAGGTAATACCGCTGTGGACCAACTCCATCTCCGGTGAGGAAAGACCGTCACTGACCTGCTCTTCTTCTTCTACTGCTTGTAACGATAATAGCATCTATTCCAGATGGCAGAAGCTTGTTGTGAGATTTTGTCGCGCAAGAGGTTCACAATCTCGACAAAGAGTTCAGGTCTCAAGCTGATCAACTAGTTTGGATCAGCCACCTCAAACATTGTAGGTGTGAGGCGTATGCTTGAGATTGGTAGTTCCGACATTGCAAGACACAAGTCAAGCATTATACAAATTCACCCTCTCTGTTCACGAGACTCTTGAGGCCGGACTGCGAGATTTGAAGATGGTAAAGGAGGTTGGGTGCATCATCACTGGTTGTTGTGAACTCGAGTCCATCCTCCACTGATGTAGAGATGTCATTCTTAACTATTGACACCAAGAATTGAACTACCCCTACAGCTTACGTGCGTCTCTTGTTTCTATCGCTTTCGGACACTATCGACTTAAGCTTCCGAAAACATCTCATCTACAACTATGGCAACAACATCATTGAATATCTTGGCGATCTTGGCCTTATCGACCGGTGGCTTCGGTGTCAGGAACCGTTCAATCCCTTTGGAGGCGTTAAGGGTGCACCATGCTTGGATCAATCGTCAAGGGGTGTGGTTTGGAGTTAAATCAACATCCGACAAGAGGGGCATTCTCATTCTCTATATAAGGTTTATTTGGTTGTCGAGAAATAGTGGGATGAGAAAGGAAAAATCTATTTTCTCATTTGTGGTCATTGTGTTTTTCTGCTAAGACCCATTATGTTACAGAATCTGCTTCTAGCATTTGGCTGATGAGAAAATTTTGCAGGATGTTTGATTTTATCCTACTTGAACAAATCTATGCTTTCTCCAATAGCAAAGGGGTTTAGATCTGGCAAGCCAATAGAAAAGGGTCAGCAAATGGAGGAAATATGGGAAGAAGATGATGATAAAAACTGACCTTCGTAGAAGATGTGGATGAAAATTTTAGAGACGAACCCATGCTCCTTGTCCGCTAAGCACCTAAAACACATGGAAGGAAAAACATTTTTGATAAAAATGCAAAAAAAAGAAAAAAAGAAAAATGTGAATGATGTATGAAGTGGAATCTTGTCTCCTTGATGCTTGAGAAGACAAATACAAGATTACCCACGCCGGAGAAGACAAAGACAATCTCCTGGATCCTTGCCGTCTGAGATTTGAGATTGAAGTTGAGGGAGGAAGAGTAAGGTATTTTTCAGTGGAATAAAACACAAAATAGCATGAAAGGGGATGTGAGTACTTACCGGAGGCCGTAAACATCTTCAAAGATGAAAGATAAGGTGGTTGGAGTTTGGACTGTTGCAGAGGTGGGAGATGAAAACAGTCCAACCTCGATACAATTTTATCACACTCATCGCACAACTTTTATTTCTTACCGAGGTTACACCTATTTAGTGAGACCTCGTGTCCCTTATTTTGAGAATACTAATCTCAGCGTATCGCATCATGTCTCTCAAAACAGACATGAAAAAATATGAATATTTGACATCCAGGTCGTGTGAACCAAAATAGATCATAAAGCAATGGTAAGGATGTTGGCATGGAACGTTAAGGGAATAAGGAGCCAAATTCATAGCTGGCAAATTTTGTGTCTACTAAAGTTCCATCAACCAGATATTTTGTTTTTTATGGAAGCTCGTATAAACCCCGATAAGGGTGAAAAATTATCAGATTTAAGTTTTTTAAGTAATTTGTTGTAAACCCAATTGGGTATGCGATGGCCTATGGATATTTTGGAAAGATTATATAGATCTAAATATTTTAACTTCAAATGATAGGTTAATCCATGCTAAAATTTTTGAGCAAGTCTCGAGTACTCATTATGATATAACCTTCTTGTATGCTCCTCCCAACAGAGTAGAACAAGCAACTGTTTGGCAATGGATTAAAGATATTAGTAAACAAACACAAAATCCTTGGTATTTAATTGGTGATTATAATGCCTTTAGGTCCCAACAAGACAAGTGGGGAAGGACAACGGCCGTGAGTCAAGCAAGTAGATTCAATGAAATTATGATACAATCTAGTAACCTAATAGAGCTTGAAGCTAATGGTAATAGATACACTAAAGCTATGTTTGGTTCGAAGGAAAAGGTAAGGAAATCTATACGAGGTTTGTAAACAGGGGTGGAGTTAGAATTTTTTCTTGAGGGGGGCCAAAACCTAGAAAATATGAATAGGGGGGTCAAAAGTTAAAAAAACATGAGTAAAGGGTCAAATTATAAGTGGAATTTAAATGGTTTTATGAGAATTTTGAAGGCATAGGGGGGGCCATGGCTCCCCTCTGCCACCCCCCGGCTCCGCCCCTGTTTGTAAAGGCTTCCCTACCTTTTCCTACTTTTTCCTTCAAACCAAACACAACCTTAGAGAAAAGGAAATATTCTAGAGAAACTAGATTGGGTGTTCACAAATGACCAATGGAGAACATTGTTTTCTCATGCCCAACTAACTAGTCTACCATTCCTAAGTTCAGACTTGAGACCACTCTCTCATGCTCCTAGATACAAAAATTAAAGTAAATCGGGGCTATAAACCTTTTAGGTTTGAGCAAATGCGACTAGAATAACCAAATTTAGATAAAATAATGGAGGAAATATGGACATCCAAAGTTCCAAGATCAAGAGGCCACCGATTTTTTTTAGAAAAACAAAATTGGTAGCAGAAAAAATAAAACATAGGAACCAAAATGAATTTGGTAATATTTTTATGAAAAAAAATATTTTAAGAAATTTGGAGGAAATTCAGAGAGAGAGAGAGATTTGCAAAACGCTATCCTAAATAAGAAAGAGGTTGCACTACAAAAATAGCAAAATAAATTTCTCCAAAAAAAAGAGATGTATTGAGCTCAAGAATCAAGAATTTCATGGCTGAAAAATGGAAACAAAAACACAATTTCTACACCAAAATGTGTCCTCACACCATACAAACAATACTTGCAGCACTGCATTGTGAAACATTTGAGTTCGGATCTTTTGCCCATGTCTACCCATATAACATCGCTGTCACACATATGAGTCTGGTCTCAATGCGAGACCGGATCTTTTCCTTACACATGGGCGCCTCAGATCGATCTCATTCACACATCCTACCATGCATTGGGAACATCTTCCGTACTTATAAGTTATTATTCATGAGAGATGTTTCCAATGCACGACGGATGTGCCTATGAGGTGCCCATGTGTGAGGAGCAGATCCGGTCTTTTCAAATGCATGGTTATAAGTGTTGTGACTTGTGAGGACTAAATCCGGCCATGGGACACCATGTCATGAGATGTGCGGATGCATATATGATACTCGCTGCCAAACTAGGATCCACCATATATGATACGTTGGAGATTAGATTTGATCCTCAAGGCTTATAGCAGCTGTTCATTGGTAATATATCTCCATTAAGGGGCATTCTTTTTTGGATTTTGAGAGGGGGATTAAGAATCTCGTGTTTTTTTTTTTATATTTATGTGGGGATTAAGGAAAGTTTATTTTCTTGGGTACCCATCTTGTAGGTGGATAAATAACTTTCCCACCTAAGGGGAAGGTTGTCAATACTTGAATGTGACAAAAATGCTCATTTTAATAATATTAAGGGTAATTGCATTTACCCGAATAAGTAATTTATCAAAAAGCCAATGAAGCGTTAATAAAACCATAAGTACGCAGATATTCTCATTGCACAGCTACAATAGAGTGTGTGAGGAGAGGACGGTGTGAGCACGGTTATGTTAGGATCAAATCCGAATTCATACGTTGAAACCGAGTTGGGACGGTTCTTGTTGGTAGGAGATCCTAATTCACATAATCGCACCAGACAAAGAAGGGAGAAAAGATTCGAAAGGTTAAGGCACCTGCTTCTAACCAGTATCTCTCTTTACTTTCAAATATGTTCGATAAATAAGCCGGACTTTGTTTTCGCTTCACGAAGAACAATGGCAAGTTGCAGATCGGTTTTCTTCATTTTCGTACTTTTTTGCATATCAATTCTCTCCGAGACGAACTCTGACCCCCTCCAAATCCATGAAAGGATTGAAGAAAGAAAACCCAATTCGAGGGCTGTCGTAAATTTGAAAGGTGGCCCTGATTCTGTAATCTGGGTGGTTCAGCTCTCTGATCTTCATTTCAGTGTTTTTCATCCGGATAGAGCTCTTGATTTTAAGAGGCTTGTTGCTCCAGCTCTTGCTATGATAAACCCAGCTCTGGTTCTGATCACTGGTGATCTAACAGGTATTCCTTTTGTCTTTCTTCTCATTTCCCTTTTTGTCTTTCTAGATTTCACATCCCTTTTTTATTTAGGATTGTTTGTTTTATTTCAATGTCGAAAAGCCATGGATTCTCTGTTTCTTTTTTTCCTTGCAAAGAATTTATTGACTCATGTCTGGCTAAGATATAACCAACGCAGAAGTGGTTTCAGTAGGAAAATTGTTGTTGGTTCACAATTTCAAAGAACTAACTCAGCTATTTATGTTTGGAAGTCATGTAGAATACGAATAATTTCAAAATATAAAATGAAATCATATCGAATACCAATAAAAACTGGAAATTCGTTAAATTTTAAGTTTGTTAATACTCTTGCAATGTGACATTCTTAATCTTTTTGCTTGGAAATACCATCTTGGGTAGTCATATTTTACTTTCACCAGATTGATTGCAATGTTCAAGCTGAATCAATCCTTCCACATCCGGTCAATTGATGCAGATAAATTCTCTAAGGTTTTCTAGATATTTTATTTTTGGCTTACTGACTGTTGGGCAAGTTGCAGAAATGAATTTTAAACCAATCTCAGGACAGAAAGAATCTTTCACCCAAATTTGTGTGTCAAAATGGGTTTGCTAACAACAATAATAACAAGTAAACAATTCAGCCAAGTAACAGAAAAACAGATAACAATCACCACACAATAGCACATCAGAATTTTTACGTGGAAAACCCCAAAATCGTGGAAAAACCACGAGACCTATGGTCCGTAAAAGACTTCCACTAATTCAGAAATTAATGGGTACAATAGTCTTCTCTAGTTGCAACTAGAGGCTTACAAACATCAATGAAATAATCATTGGCTCACAAGAACAACATTAACATCACCAAATGCAAGGTGGATACAACACAAATATAAGTTTAGATCTCACCAAGTTGCTATAAATCTGAACTGAGAAGTAGAGAAAAGGAAGGAGAATCACCAAATCCGAACTAGAGTGGGATTCTTAACTCCAACACTTAATATCATCAAGAACGGGCTTGAAAGGCACCTCCGAACTTGATCTTGAATGAAACAAGAGCCAGTTTTTTTTTTTTCTTTTTCTTCACAAAACTCAAAGAACCAAAAAAACCTTTTTTTTTTCTTTCTTTGGTTCTGTGCTTTTTTTTTCTTCTTCTTTGTTCTTCTCTGTTCAGTGGTTACGAATTTGACGCCACTTAAAAACAAAACCGAAATGTGGTAACCTTTTTACCACTATTCGGCTCCCTTTTTTTAGGGAGCAAATAAAGGTGGGGTGGGCCCCTCCATATCGGCTGGACCCACACCCAACAATTCTCCCCCTCCAGCTCATATGGGGGGTTTCACCAAGCCCGCAACTTCTTTGCAGAATTTAAATTTGTCCTTAGGCAAGGACTTTGTTAACATGTCTGCACCATTCTCATCAGTATGAATCTTCTCAATGTTCAACAACTTCATATCCAACACATCTCGAATCCAGTGGTACTTTACATCAATATGTTTGGATCTTGAGTGGAAAGTTGGATTTTTAGAGAGATGGATAACACTTTGACTGTCACAATAGAGAGCATATATTTCTTGCTTCATGCCCAATTTTTGTAAGAACTTCTTCAACCATAGGATCTCCTTACAGGCTTCTGTAGCTGCAATGTATTCAGCCTTTGTAGTAGACAATGCAACACACTTTTGAAGTTTGGATTGCCATGAAATTGCTCCCCCTGCAAAAGTCATTAAATATCCCGAAGTGGACTTTCGGGAATCAACATCACCAGCCATGTCTACATCAATATACCCATCCAATATGACTTTACCATTCCCGAGGCATAAGCATATCTGAGAAGTACCTCTGAGATACTTGAATATCCATTTTACTGCTGTCCAATGTTCTTTGCCAGGGTTAGAGAGAAATCGACTAACTATACCAACAACATGAGGAATATTTGGCCTCGTGCACACCATAGCATACATTAAACTGCCAACTGCCGAAGCATAAGACACTTTCTTCATTTCAACTTCGTCTTTCTCACTTGTAGGACATTGTTTAGTGTTGAGCTTGAAATGACTTGCAAGTGGAGTAGTCACTGGTTTTGCATTGCTCATGTTGAACCTCTCAAGAAACTTCTCAATATATTTTTCTTGAGATAACCATAACTTCCCATTCTGTCTATCTCGAGAGATCTTCATACCAAGAATCTGTCTAGCTGGTCTGAAGTCCTTCATTGCAAAAGACTTGCTAAGCTCATTTTTCAACCTGTCAATACTGTTAGAATCATGTCCAACTATCAACATAAAGCAAGAGAATAATGAAATCACCATCAGAAAATTTCTTTACAAATACACAATGATCTGAAGTGGTCCTAGTGTACTCATGATTAACCATGAAGGAGTCAAATTTGTTGTACCACTGTCTTGGTGCTTGTTTCAACCCATACAAGCTTTTCTTTAATCTGCACACCAAATGTTCTTTTCCTTTTTCTTTGAATCCCTCTGGTTGCTCCATATAGATATCTTCTTCCAAATCACCATGAAGGAAGGCAGTCTTCACATCAAGCTGTTCAACTTCCAAATTTAAACTTGCAACTAGTCCAAGCACAATTCGAATAGAAGACATTTTCACCACAGGAGAGAATATTTCTTCAAAGTCGATACCCTTTTATGACTGAAACCCTTCACAACCAACCTTGCCTTGTATTTTAGTTGTGAGCCACTCTCATCAGATTTCAATTTATAAACCCATTTGTTTTTGAGTGCCCTTTTCTCCTTTGGTAATTTCACCAAATCATAGGTGTGATTCTCATGCAAGGATTTTAATTCCTCTTGCATTGCTTTCAGCCACTCATCTTTCTTGTCATGTGACATAGCCTCTTGATAAGTCTCTGTCTCTCCCCCATCTGTCAGCATCACATATTCATGTGGAGGATACCTAGTGGAAGGTCTTCTCTCTCTAGTTGATCTTCGAAGCTGAACCTGTGGTGAAGGAACTGGAGATACATGTTCATTCTGTACTTCCTCTGTATTTTCATTTATAGGAGTTTCATTACTAACTGTATCATCCTGTTCATTTGGTACAGCTCCCCCGTGATCACCATCAACTGTAGGTGGGAAAACTGGATCCAAGTTAATTAGAACATCAACAGAGAATTTTGGCTTCTCAATTTTCTCTATATCTTCAATTGTTTAATCCTCAAGAAATACAACATCTCTACTTCTGATCACTTTCTTGTCCACTGGATCCCATAACCTGTACCCAAACTCTTCGTGCCCATAGTCTAAGAAGATGCATTGTTTAGCTTTGTCATCAAGCTTGGATCTTTCATTTCTAGGAATATGAACAAATGCCCTGCAACCAAACACTTTCAAATGACTGTATGATATGGCTTTCCCTATCCAAACTCTTTCAGGAGTATCTCCATTCAACGGAACTGAAGGAGAAAGGTTGATGAGGTCAATTGCAATTCTCATAGCATCACCCCAAAAGGATTTGGGTAACTTAGCATGAGAGAGCATGCATCTGATTCTGTCAATAATTGTTCTGTTCATTCTCTCTGCTACTCCATTGTGTTGAGGAGTCTTAGGAATACTTTTCTCAAGTCTGATACTATGGATCCTATAATATTCTTCAAAAGGACCTCTATATTCACCACCATTATCAGCTCGGATGCATTTCAACTTATTCCCTGTTTCTCTCTTAACCTTGGCATGAAAATACTTGAAAATATCCAACACCTAACCCTTAGATTTCAAGGCAAATGCCCACACTTTTCTGGAGTGGTCGTCAATAAATGTTACAAAATATAATGCACCACCAAAAGATCTATCTTTCATGTAACAAACATCAGTGTGAACTAAATCTAAAACATGAGGCTTTCTAGATGCAGGAAATTTATGAAATTCAACTCTACTCTGTTTGCCAGCTAAGCAATGTACACATGTTTCAAGAGGCATACCTTTCACATCAGGAAGAAGATTTTATCTGGAAAGTATCTGAATCCCTTTTTCACTCAAATGTCCAAGCCTCCGGTGCCAAAGCTCAATGGATGAATCATGAACTGCATTCACCTCTCCTTTGCTCAACCTTGCTTGCATCACATAAAGGGTATTGTGCTTCTTTCCCTTTGCCACAATGAGTGAGCCCCGACTGAGCTTCCATTTTCCATCACTGAAGGTATTTGCATAACCTTCATCATCTAACCTGCCAGTGGAAATCAGATTTAGGCGGATATCAGGAACATGTCTAACATTCTTCAAAATTAATTTGCAACCAGTATTGCTATCTAGACAAATGTCTCCCATGCCAACAATCTTGGATGTACCAGCATTCCCCATACAAACATGTCCACAATCACCTGTAGTGTAAGTTGTAAAAAATTCACCATGGGGAGTAACATGAAAAGAAGCACTCAAATCTATGACCCAATCACTGTCTGGGCATGCAAAGTTGACATAATTATCATCACAAACAATAACATCACCCTCGGCTGCAACAGCTATAGTATCTTTTTCTTCTTTCTTGCCTTCACCTTTCCCTTTGGCTTGTTCTCTTTTCTAGACTCTACATTCATTTTTGTAATGTCCTAGTTTATTACAGTGATGACAAATGATATTTTTCTTGGACCTGGACCTTCCTTAGGATTTATCATATTTGTTACGGGGACCTCTGCTCTTACTTCTTCCCTGTCTTTCTTTCTTTTCTGTTACAAGAGCTTGAGATTCTGAGTAAGTTCCTTGTTTTTTCCTCCTGGACTCTTCATTCAACAAAGCATCTTTGACTGTGTCAATGGTTACTATACCATTAGGAGTTGAATTACTGACTAAAACCACCGAGGTTTCCCAACTGTCAGGCAAGGAACTAAGTAACAGCAAGACCTGCACTTCATCATCCAAATTCAATTTCATAGTAGTCAATTGATTTATCAAATCTTGAAAATCACTCAAATGTTCAGACATATTAGTCTCATCTTTATATCTCAAGTGTGCTAGTTTTCTAATCAAGACAGCCTTGTTTAAACA